GCCCAGCGAACGTTTGCCTGCTAAGGATTTTCACTGCTTTGTACTTTGATCTGTGTAAAAATAGTTGAATTGTTGTCCGGTTCCTAAGATGCGGAATTTCTCGTTAAAAATTTCACGTACTGGTGTGTAAACGCTGATCTTGAAACCTTGGAGGTGAATATCCTCCCAAAATTTTGCATTCCAATTTTCTGGTTTTCAAGTGGTTTTGCGACAAAACTTCCACGTGGTCGTATGTGAGACGCCAGCATACTTAGGGACTGAATTTGGGTTTGTGAAGCCCCAGCTTAAGCAGGAAACATCCGTCTGAAATTTTCAGCGCTCTTCTATCTTCCGAGATAATGGTTTTTCCCGCTAAAACTTTTACAGCGATTTTGAGATCCAGGAGTGCATCAAAACTGAATCTGAATTTACGGGGTCGTATGTGGGCAGGGGACATACCCATAAAATTTCAGCTCCCTAGATTTCGTGGTTCCCAAGATAATAATTTCCTTGCTAAAACTTTCACGGGGCACGCGTGCTACTCGCGGGCACGGAAAGGCTGAATGTAAATTTGCGGGGTCACACGTGGGTTCCCTTAAACTTTCAGCTTCCTAGCTTTTGTGGTTCCCTAGTTGAAAGATGTGGACAAGATGCATCGGACACACATACATATATGCACATACACACAACCCCGTGGTTATATTCTTTTTGTGCAGTTGTTGCACAGCACAAAACACGTGAAAAGTGTTATGTCTGCCGAATAGCCTCTATTTGTTTCTTTAATGATTTGCACAAAGTTCCAGATCACAACAAAAAATCATGACATACCACTTTCGCTAGATCTGCAAGGGGAAGAAAAACCCTCTGGGCGAGATATAATACTTGTTGCCAGCTGTATTAATGATCAACACGACGAGAAAACTGATTGCTAAAGAGTAGCTTCCGAGTACTCTGGATCTTGATAATTTGTAAAAATAAACTAAATCAACAGAGAGAGCGGTAGCTTTTAAGTTCCTTCGTATCACACGTACAATATTTGATATAACTGCCGATATTGCTCTAGCTCTTGAATATGTGCTATCAATTATTCTGTGTTTTTGCTGCAAAATTCGTGTTGTTGATGCCTTATCCGTGTGTCTGTGTGTCTGCATGTGTGTATGTGCATATGTGCATGTGTGTATGTGCATATGTGCGCATGCGTTTGGCCGATATTTTGTCCGGGTCTTTCAAATCAGCAACTAGCAGAACTGTGAAGCTAAAATCTTAGGAGAATGCTTCTTGTGCATGTGCGAGCTCATGGACATAAATTCAATCTTCGCCTACACCCAGGTCTCACACACGGACAAATGAAAGTTTTCGCCCGAAATTTTCTGTTTGTGAAACTAGACAAGATAGAGAGTTAAAACCTGGAATGTTTCCTGCTCATAGTACTGCTCGAAAAAGGTGCTTGTGATGTAACTGCTCCGAAGTTGGGAATTACGGCAGAGTGATAGAGAAAAAATAAAAGATAGACTTTCGAGCACAGTGGCGAAACAGTTTGTACAGAACAACGTACCGCATCTTCAAGTACCGAAGCATCGTAGAGAAAAATATTCAACGATGTTGATTCTGCATAAGTCCATGATTCCTTCGCACTAATACACCAATTGACCAACAGTGCTAGCGCATCCGCTGTAACCAACAAACAAACGTTTTTTGTCAGAACAGCTCGCTCAAGTTCCATGTTACATAAAAATTTGTAAAAATAGAGTGAAGATGGAAAAGGTGGTGGAAGTGGAAGGATGAAAATAGGGGGAAGACGGACATGTAACTGACTAACCAAAAACGATCAAATCCAACAAATTCACGGGAATAACATAAGTCAGAAATGTGGCAAGACGCCTTCGGAATAGTTGTGGAGCAGTCTTCTTCTTTCGTTTCAAAATGGAGATTATTACCTATAAGTGATGCGTCTTTGATGGTACTAATGTTTACCATAAGAATATTGTAACATCTCTACGCTTTTGCAGGACGAGGCAATCCTGAACTAGAACCTTTAGTGCTTCATTGAGAATACTGTATCAGACTCACAGCGAGTTCATATCGATTCAAAGGGTAAAAGTATTTTTTGGAGCAAAAAATAAACTGTAAAATTTCGAGTAACTTCATGTACCAAAGTACGTTTAATCAAAACTTTTCAAAACGAAGAATATTGTTTCCAGTAATGTGACTAAAATAGTAGTAAATCGATACTACTTCTTCATCAATTTAAGCTTTAAATGAGAAAACTGTGGCTTCTTTGTTCATAAATTGACAAGCTATACGTTTTTTCGTTCAAATTGATGGCCTCAGCGGATTCTGTGAATTCCGATACTATAAACTTTCATTAACATAACATTTTTATACACTGTTACAAAAGAGCGTGGAAGCATGCTTGAGTCCATCCTCTCCTTTTTGCCCTTCTCGGTTCCAGTGCTCTAGGAAGGGCAAGAGCGCGAGCAAGAAAGGAGAGATTTTTCACACAGGAATTACGCTTCAATTCCAGGAATAGCGGGCAGCAGTGCGCGGAATATCTTCAGCAGATGTCTTACTTGCGTGGGAAGAGTAGCAACTAAATCTGTATTTGCAAATGATGACCAGCAACAGGGCCAGCTTTACATTAGGATATTTGCAAATGAATCAGGATTTGTAACATTAGGCAGATTTGCCTGGGTGTTCCACAACGAAGCCAAGCCGGAATAGGAGTGCTCATCGCTACGGATAGATTTGCGCAGAAATATCAGTAGTAGATGGCGGATTTGTGCAGGCGCTTACTTCAGTGTTTTCAAGCACCTCCTTTGATTCGGTTTGAGCCATTTTACCGTTTTAGTGCATTTTTACATGACGTACAGAATCTCTTGTAGTATGGTCATGATTTCATCTGCAGCTCTCT